TCCCGAATTCGCCGCTGACGCCAAAGTCACAGAGCTTCACTTGGCCGTTTCGGCATAGGAGAATGTTTGAGGGTTTGATATCTGAATCCGTCAGCCGATTGCACGCATTCCTGAAAGAAGCGAGCTTACCTCGATGGATAATCTTTCTGCTATGTAGGTATGTCAAACCATTCAAGACCCCTTCGGCGACTTTGCCGAGTACTTTTTCTCCGGTTCGCCCTCCCAATTTCTTGACCTCCTTGTAAATGCTGTCCAAACTTCCTCCTTCGCAAAACTCCATCGCAATTGAGATTGTTCCCGTCGACTTGTCCATGAAAGCGCCGTAGTACCGGCAGATGTGCTCTGACGCACAGTCCTTGTTGAAGTTAAGTTCTCGAACGATCTGCTTCTTCACATCTGGGTTTGGGTCGGTGGTGATGATCTGGAAAAGTAATTATATTGGCATGAAGAAATCTCACGTTTCAGGAATATGGTAAATACCTTCAGGGCAAAAACGGTCTTGCCGTCCTTTAGCTTGCACCGTGTAACGGCACCACCAGCCCCCTCACCCAGACTACCCAACTCAATAATCTTCTTTTGCTCACTCGCAGCCAGCCAGCCTTCATCATCCAAATCATCAACGTCCAGGGGCCTGCCCATTTCCAGACTCAACTTATCTAAATCGGGAAGAAGTCCGTTGACGCTGTTATCGCGCTCCATCTGCACACCTCCCTCCCTGTCGGAGTATACCGAGCTGATCGCAGATGAGGGATCGGGGGTGCCGCCGTGCGGTTGTCGGAGACCCATGGCGAACGAGAGGGCAGAGTAATTCGACGATGATGCGGATGCCGGACCGCTAGCTTTCCCATCCAGATACGTGAAACTGCTGGATCTCGAATGTCCGCTCGATTCGTTCAACCCCGTGGTCGCCAGAGGCGGAGGGGCTGGTCTGCCATTCGCCAGTCGGGGCACCTCCTGAGGGACCTCCGAGCTGCTGCCCATGGGGGTCGCGAGTCGCAGCTGAGGAGGAGCGGGACGGGCAGAAGGTCGCTGAGGTTGGGGAGCTTCGGGGGCAACTGCTGCGACTGCGGGGACGACGCCATTCCCATCGACGGGTCTGCTGTTCGGTGACGGAGGGATGCCCAGCGTGAGTTTTGGAGGTCGAGGTCCGTTGCTGTTGCCGCGACTGCCAGGCACTGGTGGTCTGAGGAGAGGAACGGGCGAGGACGACATGGCGAGGTTGTTTTGCCTCTCCCCCGGCAAAAACAACTCGTTGGGATCAGCCAAGGTAGCCAGATCGGCGACGATTGAGTTGGACACCTTGAATGGGAAGCTCGAGGACTAAATGGATAAAAGAGGGTGGACGAAGCAGCACCGGGGATTGCAAAGGTGGCCGTGGGGCCGAGATACACGCGGCGGATGAACAAAGGAGGGGTAAGAATAATAGCTATAACAGTAGTAGGCGTACGATCAAAGAGACAACACAATAGACGACAGCGATAGATCGGGATAAACGAACGTTGGTATTTCTCTTCCTTTGAACAGAATCAAAGAAAGAGACTGGATGAACGAGGGAGTTGATGAGGATGGGGTGGGATCGAAGGACGATGGGGATGGGCCAACAACGGTCGGGGAAGCGAAAGAATTATTTATTGATGACACGAAGAGCAGCTGACAGAGTGTCAGTCAGCTTGGATTGGCTGTTTGATGTTTGAACTGTCGAATATTTACCATCCACGGCTAGATGAGCGATATGACGCTTATATTATTATATCAATTGCCTATGTTATACGCTGTTACTCCGTTCCATCACAATTCAATGCCAATCACAAGGCACAGCCAACAGACAATCGCGCTGGGGGATCGCATCGGTGGAACCAGACTGTTTCGAAAGGCGCCTAGACAGTACCACTTCTATAAATATGCGATCTCTACCTAACACTCCTATCGGCTATATCCAGATAGTTATAGTATCTAAATTTGTTTGTTCATCATGATCACTAGATGGTGTCTTTCATTGACATTGTCTTCAAGTCTGTGATAAATTTTGATGCTGTGGTTGTTGTTGATGGTCTCGATGTGTTGGCCTCGGCTGCCAGGCATCTAGGCATCCACGAAAAATCCTGTCGATGAAACTCCACATCATCGATCCGTTTCTTCTTCTCGATGGCATCATCATACCCGGATTTGAATGCTTAAGCTCTCAATTATGAGTTCATATGCTATCGACCATAGAATATCGACCGGAATCTTGCTCTGTACCAGCCCTAGCCGAAGCAGCCAGTGGTCACTGGGCACCCTGTCCCTTATCGGGTCAACAACGTCTCAGCCACTTTCCTTCCCCAATTTGGCAAATGTGGCGACTGTGCACCTATCCTATTTCGAAATGAGACATCCAAGTCCTCAAGTTGGGACTGTTTCAGAGTGTTAGTCTCCCTGTACTTAAAATACGCGGATTTGTGGCTTGTGAGAATGGGTCCTTGGTCCTGGATGGCTGTGCTGGCAACAGTTGCTTGGGTCAGCCACAACAATCAACAATCAACGAGCAGCAAGCAGCAAGCACCAAGTTGCAAGTCTGCAAATGTGTATGGGCACTCGGTCAGGGTTTCTTCCTGTTGACTGAGAGACTTTGTCTTTCACCCAGGATCATCAGCTTTTTTACTCCGTAGTACTTGTCCAAATAGGGGAATTTCTCCACATGAGGGTCTTCTGTTTCAACTGAGGCACGTGCTGCTTCAGCTTCAGCTTCAATTTCAGCCTTGCGTGTTTATTCATCAAGAAATCCACACCGGCAGTGGACTTGGATCGCCTATCTTGATCGCAAAAGAGCTCAATCTACTTCTGACATCACATCCATTAACATTCTTCACAATCAACGACAAGCAGTCGAGGTGAGAATGACTACTGCATATGTCATCGTCACTACTTCCGATATCCAGGCCCCACAGGGTCCTAAAATAGCCACCAAGGTCATTAGCACGCCGAGAATACATGGTCCATCTCTTCTACTCTGAAGGAAGCGATAGAGCAAAGTTTTAGGAGTGTGAAGAAATAATGACAGTCCTCGGCAATTGTGCAGATGTTATTGGATGCATCTACAGTACTACCTCATATCTATGCCATCACCGAAGCGTCTAGCTACCTACTGTCTTGGGTACATTCTCCAATTACTACATCATAGACGCGCGGCTCTGATGATCCTCGGTTGAGCCTTTGCAATCCCCACTGCTCGTCCAGATACTTGCAAGAAAGGAATGGTCATGCGGAATATAGCGACTTTGTCATTGACTCGCTTGGGACATTTATTCGAAATGAATGGAGCTCAATGCCATTACAAAATTTGCAAGCTTCTCGAGATTGGTTCAGGGAGCAGAGAATGGTAGACTGCCCCTGTTGATCAATGGGCCATTGTCCCTCCCATGTCCTACCAAATACTTAGTATAGGCACAGACCATATTGTTGTGTTCCCTGAAGTAGATACTCCGTGATCAATATGTCTCCGAGTGTCAATGAGTGACTAAAGGGTCTTCTGTTTATAGTATCGACTCCGTTGACCACTCTCCATAATTAATAACCCGTTTCTAATCAAAGCAACATTGGCTTGACTAGCGGACTAGATAGTCTACTCGGTAGTTTGCTTGCAGTTGAACGGAAAGATGGACCAAACCCCTTTTCCATCAGATCCAGGCCTAAGGATTAGATAGTCTCGGTCATGCTCATCATACCCTTTCGAACTCGGTCTCTGCATCTACCTCGCTTCGGAAAATAGAACAACTCTTCGGAGTATCTTTATTCTCTGAATTTAGGTGAGTTGGCTTTGACGCCTATCACTGGCTATACCTAGCCAATCAAAAGGTATAGTCTTGAATATGCTCTCTTTTAGTCAGGGGTAACCAGAGGAGCTATTCATTAACATCTTAGCCATGTCTCCTCTGTGGCTTGTCTTTCCAAGCCTACGGAGTAATGATTCTGTCTTTCTGCTCACAAGGCCAATAGTACCAGTAGTGCTGCTACAGTAGATAGACATCACTACCTAAGCTTTAATTAAGCAATACAACATGTGTGACTGTGGCGTCTCAAAGGCCCTGGTCTCGAAGCTCTCGCTCAGACTTCAGTCAAGTCCGTGTTTTGGTAGTGGCGTCCCAGCCGTGGTCCCTGGCAGGGTGCATTTCGAGGCCAATTTCTCTGAAAATGGTGTTGGGTCTGTGCATTGACTGGCGTGTCAATGTAACATGCATCAATTCAGGGCGATTACTGACTCACGAGGTCATCGCCTGATTCTAAGATGGCCCCAGTACTATTCTTAACAGGATCCGTGGTTCCTGGACATGATCATCCCTTGAAATGCTGGATCCGGACATGTTCAGATCCAGAGTTCAAAAAGAATTCAGGAACCACAATCATTCAGTCTGGCGCTCTGTCGCCGACTCGCCCGTCCCTGAGTGAGACCGCCAGGTTGAATTGAAATCAAAATAAACGACTTAGGGGCGGGTGGAGCATTGTGGCTCCACTAGATCTCCGGTCATTGGACACACAGCGGGGTTGGGGAGCCACAGCGGGAAAATGAAAGAGGCCTCTGAGTGGACCACGGATTCAGGAACGGCTAAGAAATAAATTCTGATTGGTAGACAGTTGAAAACATGAAACCGGTACTGCAATAATAACAATAATAATAATAATATAGTGCTGGTGCAGCCCCCTCGCTCTCCACCCGACACGGTCAAGTCTAGTCTCTCTTTGCCTTTTTCCCCTGAGACGATCTCCAGGTTTAATCTCCCCGTTCATACAAAGGCCCCCAGCGCCCCCTCCGTCCTTCCCTTGTTCTTTTCTTCTTGTTTCTTTCTCCCAAGCTCAAGACTTTCTTCCTGCTTCAAGCATCGATTCAACTTGACTTCGGTCAGCCACTCTTTCAAACCAAACCAACTACCCACACTCTCTTTAACAACCACGACATAAAATTGCCTTGCCGGCTAATTCCAGTGACCTTTTTACATCAACCAACCAACCAACCAATCTTCAATATGCGTTTCACTGCTGCTTCCATTGCTTTCTTCGCCGGCCTTGCCGCTGCTCTCCCCAACGGTGACGTCGAGACCGTCTACGAGACCAAGGATGTTACCATCACCTCCTGCGCTCCCACCGTCACCAACTGCCCTGCCCATTCCACCTCCACCCCCCAGGGTGCTGGCGCCGTGACCGCTTCTTATCCTACCAGCGAGTCTGCCGTCCCGACTCCCTCCGCCGGCAGCAGCAGCGTTCCCGTCATCCCTGCTCCCTACAACACTGCTCCTGCCGCCCCCAGCAGCTCCGTCATTGCTGTGACCACCTGCGTGCCCACCGTCACCTACATCACCGTCCCTGTCGCTACTCCTAGCGGCCATGCCGGTGCCCACTCTTCCGTCCCCGTCATCCCCTCTGCTCCTACCGGCAAGCCTAGCCCCAGCGCTACGTAAGTTTTCATCTCACCAGATCTGTCTACTGAATATCCACTGACCCGCCGCAGTCCTTCCTCTATTCCTCCTGGTGGTCTCGCCACTGGCGCTGGTAACACCGTCAGCGGCTCTTTCCTCTTCGCTGGTGCTGCCGCCGCTGCCGCTTTCTTCCTGGCTTAGAGCAGTTGATTTCTTGTCCATAGTGTGGACCCTGGTCACTCGAGGCTCCAGGACAGCGCTGCTGGATGAACTTGTCATGATGGAGTGACGGGTGTGTGTCAAATAATTGGGCTTTCTTTTGGGAGAGTAGTTTATATCCTTGCTTATACATATCTTTTTCTTACATTGTATTCTCGACTTGTCAATACGATGATGTAACTTGAACATATTTAATTGTAATGTTCACCTGATTGTGTCTAGTATTACTTTAAAGAAAAAAGGAGATCATGTCTCGTCTTGGGGATGAGCGCATGGTTCGTAAGGATGTACAGCAACTGCTGAGACACCAATAAGGGATCGCCCTCTATGAGGCCGATGCAAGGCAGCTTAATCTGATTATGCGCTAATAAATCAGTTAAATAAACGAAATGTGCATGTAGCGTCTTGAATATCTAAAAGCACCACAAGTCACTTCTTCTAGAAGGCTGAGCCGAAGGTGCGCGGCACACGACACTAGGAGTGTTCTGTAGATGAACACCAGGTGATCCTCACTGTTTAACCCATCATTTTACGGAGTAGAGTTTGATGATTTATTATTCCGATGCTTGAAGAAATGCTCTGCCAAGTCAGTACTCCGTAGATAGTAACAAAGAGACAGCAGACGCAAGGTTAGGAAGCTGCGGTAAGGCCAGATAAGTAACAACATGGGGCTGAATTGAGGCTTTGAGGACAAAGAATATTTTAGCAGGCCAGGGAACCAATTTATATGCTGAGATAGAATACTACAATACTTGGTTTTGTGGCAGTGTTTCCAACTGGTCATTGTTATCCAACATATCATGATTCATGCCAGCGACTAACAACAACAGCCGCTTCTTCTCCTAGCTTTTGCGATTCGACCTCGTATACTCAAAGAAGCGAAACTAACGCAGTGAGTTATCCATACTCGACACATGACTAGAGCCACGCTCGATGATAGTTGTCTATCCCCCCAGCATCCAAGTGAGCTTGAGATCTGACCATGACGGTGCGCCTTATATCAACCTGCTCCATTCCATCCAACAAGCGGCGTAGCGAATCTTTCTCGCCTTGCGCTTGTGGCCGACGTTCTTGATGGATCTGCGGGGCCAAAATACTATCATTTTCACTTTCACACCTCTCAAGGCGAGGTGTGTTGTTGGTTCTCCGCTGTCGGTTGTCCAAGAGATCCATCCGAGCCCCAGATCGCCTGACTCGGACTCGGGAATAGCACGAACATGGCATGGTATCCATAAATTTGGCTCAGGGTCAAGGTGCCCCAGTCTGACACCGACTGATCCGATCAAAGGCGCAGGAGTCTTTACCTTTGTTGTCTGTTGGTTGTCTTTGTTGTTGTGTTGTCGCACTGCCTCTCCAGCATGATCATGGCCTTTCACCCACAACATATATAGGTAATTGATGCCGGGATACTCTCACTCAAGTCTGCTTCTATTCTGATTGCGACACACGACATATTAACTTCGTTCAAAGGTGTCGATCCACTCGCCATCTGGGTCGCATCGTATTCGCACCTTATTTTTGGCTCCATCGACTCTCGCGCCTCGTACTCTCGCGCCACTTATTGCAGGAATCCTCGTGGGGTTCGATCTCAGGGCCCATTTCACGGCATCTAGCGATAGTTAAGAAGACCCCTGTTCCGTCGATTCCAGGCTGTGTACGGAGTACTCGCTTCCCATGGATCTCTCTACACTCGAAGGCCCCCCGATCCACAACCCCCGGCTCGCCAACCGGGCCTGCAACATGTCTGTTCCTCAGATACACCTCGACCATGCCTTCTTCATCAGTCCAGAAACTGAGGGATTCCACCTCCTGCAAAGACCTGCGTCCGCCGACGCTCATGCCCTTCCTCGCCGAACAAAGTATCTCAACCCGGCCTGCATCCGCCACACTGCACGGCCCCGGCTTCGAGTCGACGCAGGCCCAGCCGTCGAGCTCGACTCTACGGTCCGGTCTAGCCCCAGCCATAATCACAGTCACAGACACAGTCACAGTCACGGCCACAGTAACTCAGATCTCTCCAGCTTCTCGTCGACGCGGAGCCGTCCTCGCCGGCTCACATGGGTCGAAAGCGAGAGTATCTGGGTCGTCACCAGCCCCTCCGCCGGCTCCCCAACTGCTTCATCGACATGGGGCGACGTAAACTGGTCCGCGGCCGCCTACCGCCCACCTCCACTGCAGCATTCTCGATCAATGGACATGACTCTTGCCCATGCGCAGGCCCACCCGGAGCCGGACGACCTTCCACCCCCGTACGAACGGCATTACTTTGACAGACCTCTTCCTCCTCTCCCGCCGGAGGCAGAGATGGATCCTTTGCTTGGAGGCAGTGCCTATAGCCAGAGTACAGGTATAGATTCAGGTCACAGTCACAGTCACAGTCGCAGTCACACTGGCGCCTCGCGATGGACGGAGATCGCGCGGCGGATGAACCGGACTCCGCTTGGATGAGCTTGGGTTTGGGAATGCAGGAATGTACAGAGTTGTAGTTGTCGCGACAGAGACTTGTTGCTACGGCAGTGAACCCTGAACCGGGCAGTCGGCCGGTCGGTTGGTCGAGGCCTACTGACCAGGGACCTCCATATTCACCCGACTTATTGATGGACACTTCATGGTGAATACGAGTTCTATGGGAAGGTCACTAGCCGAGTATAAAGCGGTTCAGCCCTAGATACCTAGACAGATATTCACCTTTTGAGATAGTGAACTGAGAAATGTCATTTCTATTCTCTGTCTGTCTTAGTATTTATTCACTATGTAGAGTAACTTTCAATCTCATTCACTATTCTATAGGAAATATCCTCCCTATTCTCTTACCCTGGTTCATTCATAGTCCTCAGTCTATGGCCTCAACCTCATGAACTGATGCATACATGTTCGCTAGAACATCAAGTACCTTATAATTTATCAAACTGAATCCCCAAGCAGATGGCGGTTGCCTTTATGGGGACGCCTTTCCAACCGAGATCGTTGCCAATGACCATGAGCTATGAGGAGATACCACGAAGCCACAAAGGATTAGAGCCACGGGGATATATGAAGTCCCGAAGCCTTAACGTGCACCACTCACTGGTGCCTGTGGCAACCTGTTTACGGTAAGGATGGCTCCTACACTACGTACGTTACCAGGCCTCTTTTAAGTCAGAATATTGATTCCGGCAGACCGACAGTCTTCCGCTGGGAAGGTCACGGGCTCTATCCTCATCAGATAGTTGCTCGAGCACGTGAAGTTTGCAAGAGAGGTTCGGATAATTGAGCTAGTTGATGTTCCTCTCCTGTCTCTGGACTGGTTCCGCGGTCAAGGAAGACGCGGGACATATGATAATTCAGACCTTGACCCATCAAATCGATATAACCGGCTCTGCGTCTTTTTTGAGCCTGTATCAATTGGCCTATGGACGGCCGAGCAGTGACGTCAAAACCGGAAAGAGTCATACACGACACCCCTATCGACATGCAAAGTACCCAACTAGTCACAAACAACATCAAGCCGCTAGAGAACAGATGATCTCGTCTCCTTTTTTTTAACCTGGTCCAGGGGTTATTTTAGACTGCCAACCATGGAGCCCCCGACACAGTCTCCATCTTCGGAGCCCTCAACCGATAGTTACAACCCTGGAGATGCAGCAGCACAACTAGTCGAGGGACTACCGCACCGTCCATTCACCAGCAGCCAGGGTCTACACAGGACCCTGGACAGCCGGCGCGAAGCCCTTGCACAAGACAAATCCCGCGAGGAGTACCTGGTTTTCACGGGTGTTCCGCCAGGGGTACACTCCAGATTAATCGACGATAGGTCGCGAACAAGCAAGTACTGTCGCTTCTCTTACAGCGAGACAACGGGAACGCTGATCGCAAAAGTCAAGGCCAGTCCTGAAGACGACCTGGCGGCGCGGTCGTTCGATTTGCTTATCGGATTTGAGCTGAATTCGATGGGCGTGTTGGAAGAGGTCGATCCCATTGGAACGGCCACCGTCACAATCGGCAGCTGGAAAAGGGAAGCGGATTGCTCCTGGGGTCCTGTATAATACCATACTGAGCTAAACTTCGTAGTCATAGTGGCTCTATCAGTATCTGCTCGGCACCTGGCTCTTGATGCTCGAGCGTGGTTGGAGACTCCTTCATCGACAGTCAAACTTGCTGTCACCATTGGTATTAACCGGGCGAATCCCGAGGTCATCATGCAGCGTTGGGAGATATTCACAGGGTCTTCCCCTGCAGCTCGCCCTTCTGCAACCATCCGGATATACCGAGTCAATAACACGACATCTATCACCGGGGGACAACTAGTGCTACCTTTCGACAAGGTTGTGGGACGTCCAGCAAGAGGGCCCCTTGAAAGAGACATTATACTCTCAGAGCCAGCCCTGCAGAATTATGCTGAGAGGCTCTGGGTCAAACAAGGTTTCATTAATATGCATACCTATTCCACTCGGAAAAGAAGCAAGGGCTAGCTTGGTAGTCAATCGGCTTGTGGATTCACCATCAATAAGGCATTGTTACTGGTATGGATGAACATCAAGTTAGACTAGCTCGTCATTATCATTAAAATCGTATACTGAAGCAGACGACTCTGTACATCACCAAAAATTACTGTACAATTTCATCATCCCATCGGCTACTGGACAGCGGGCAGAGGCGCTCTCAGAGGCAGCTTACGCGATGAGCTGCCGACGTACACTTTCTTGGGGTACTTGGTGATGACCCAGTCCTGAGCCTCCACATCCCAGTTGGCTAGATCACGACGGTTAAGAGTCGTGGTCCAGACCCTCTGCTCCCCAGGAGCCAGGTAGATTCGGTCGAACTTGCGCAGAACGACCCGAGGCTCCTTGGGTCCGCCCAGAGAAACATACTAACAGCGAGTTAGCTAAAAATGCAAGGCAAGGAACCTGCGAGTCAACTCACCAATTGAGGAACTTCATAACCGCCGACGTTGCCAGTGTTGGTGATGGTGGCCGACACCCTAACAAGATCGTGATAAAGGGTAGGGTTGCCACCAGGAGCGCCGCCAGCCTTCAGGAGGGGTTGAGGAGAACCATCCGTAGCGCCCTCGGGAATGTACTCCGAGTCCTCCCAGCCGTAGTTCGGGTCGTCAGAAGAAGCCTCGAGGTCGGTCGAGTTCAGCCAAGGGTAGATAAACTTGGTGATTCTCTTGAGACCCTCGGGATACAGGTAGTCGGCGGCACTACCGATCTTGCCATAAGTTGGCGCAGGCTTGGTCTCTCCGCTAGTCGGGACGTATGCCGAACTCGAACTATTGAGGGCCTGAACTCGGAGGTGAGAATAACCAAAGGTGGTGTAGCTCAAGCCATGGCCAAACTCATAAATGGGGGTCTCGTTGCGCTTGTCGAAGTAACGGTAGTCGATGAAGACGCCCTCGTTGAAATCATCCTGGGGAGCGCCGTCGCCATTGTTAGGCTCGGTGAGCAAGGGAGCACCGTAAGACTCGCGAGTCTTGCCCCAGGTGAATGGGGTCTTGGCGCTAGGGTTGACACGGCCATAGAGGACGTCGACGAGGGAGTTGCCACTCTCCTGACCGGGCAAGCCGGCCCAGATGATGGCGGTGACGTTGGGGTTGTCGTACCACCGGTCGATCAAGACGGGCCCAACACTGTGAATAACGACAATCGTGTTGTTGCAGTGACTGACAACAGTGTCGATGACGGCTTCGCCGTTCTTCCAAAGAGTGAGATTTTTGCGGTCACCCTCGTTGCCGTCGACGCTGATGAACCCCTCGCCGGAGTCGGCGTTGACAAACACCAAAGACACGCTGTTTGCAATGGTCAATATTCGTTCACAGACGTGTTTTCAAGGGCCGCCACTCACCTGGATTGAGATGCAACATCTGCCATCTGGCTGAGAGCTCCGTTGTGAGTCACAGCGAAGACATTGCCGCCGTTGTTGATGACCTCGCGCTGGATAGCCTGCTCGGGGGTAACAAGGTAAGGGAAGTTAGCAGTACCACTACCCCAGGCCATAGCAAGAGTGCTGTTGTCACAGCCGCGGTCGGGGCAGCCGTTAGCACCCCACGGGTTGGAACCAGCGTCTTCGCCGAGAACACCCACTTTAACCTCCCTGCCGGTCAAAGGAAGAGCACCATTGTTCTTCAAGAGTACTGTACTAGCCGCGCCAATCTCGCGGATGATCTGAGAGTGAGCGCGCTGCACTTTGACGAAGTCGTTGACCTTGGTCCAGGCTCCCTCGGAGACAGCAAAATGCTCCCAGCCGTACTCATCCCGAGTCCAGGAGCTGAAGTTAGGGGGAACACGAAGACGGTCACGGCCAACCTTGTAGTACGCGCTCATGATACGGACAGCCATGTCATCAACACGCCAAGCCGGAACGGTGCCGTTAAGAACACTGACAGTCAGGTTCGTGCCCCAGAAGGAGAGGCCGTCGTCGAAGGCAATGTCTCCGGGCATCGACATATCCAGCCCAGCGAGGGCAGAACCGACACCGCTGTGGTGAGCGCTCCAGTCACTCATGACGAAGCCCTGGAAGCCCAGCTCGGCCTTGAGGAGCTTGTTGAGAGTCTGACTGTTTTGGCAACCGTAGCTGTTGTTGATTTGGTTGTAGGAACACATGATAGCCCCAACGCCAGCTATAGATGGTTCGTCAGTGATTTCTTCATCGCGAGTCAAGTCTGCTGAAAATCTTACCGCGCACAGCATCTGCAAAGGGCCTGCATTCCGGGTCAGTCAAAGGTCCTCCTCGTTTGAGGCGTCAACTACTCACCAAAGGTACAACTCATGCATGGTCTTGTCATCCACGTTGGAGCTGAGAGTCTCCGTGATGTTGTATCCATATCCCTGGGCCTCGCTAACCTGTCGGAAATGCTCCTGTTCATTCAGAATGTAATGCTTGGCAGTAGCAATCACACCCGCGTCTTGGATACCCCTGATAGTTTCGGCAAAAAGTACACCAGTGAGAGCCGGATCGGGAGAGAAGCCTTCCCAGATTCGGCCACCGTCGGGGTATTTGCCGAGAGGACCAGCAGCAGGCCCCAGCTGAATGTCGACGCCCTTGTCGTTGAATTCCTCACCCATGGCCTTTCCACGAAGGTAGGCGAGTGTCTTGTCCCACGTCGCGGCGACATTAGTACCAGCAGGGAAGGCGGAATTGAGATCAGCTATACAGAGACAGTCATCAGCACATAATACGGGAACTGAAAGTCTCCGCAGGTATAGCTTACAGAAACGGATCCCCAGAGGCGAATCCTGGCCACAAAGACCCCAGTTGATACCAAGTCTGCACCACCGCGTTTTAGCAACTAAAGTTGCACGTTACTGTAGAATTGCAAACTTACCTGGGAACGCTGCCCGTTTGACCGACACATCTGTCCATTTCCCATCTACGTAGTGTCAGTGAAGGAAGCTCACTGTCAACAAGAAAGTCTTAACCCACCCGGTACCCGTCGTAAGGTTAACCTTCTCCGCCAGTGTCATCTGAGAAACGATCTCGACGGCGCGTCGATGGGCATCGGCCCACTCTCCCTGGCCATCAGCCCAAGGCGAAGGGTAGAATGGTGGAGAGAAAGCCAATTCCTAATTATTTCCAGGCATATTGTCAATTATGATCGAAATAATGACGGAAAAGCAGTACAAACCTGGGCATTGGCTACAGAAGCAGCCGTCAGAGCGGCGATCTCGAGCCAACCGAACCTCATTGCTGAGCAGGGTGTATGTAGCCAGAAAATAAACAATCGACCACACAAGAGAGGAATGAGGAAGAGGGGGAGGGAAAAAGGGAGAACAGGATATTAATAGCCAGTCCAAAAAATGAGAGGCCGGGAGAGACAGTGACTATGATTTTAAGGTATGACTACGCGGTTGCACGATGATGTATGAATGTCTGGGCAAAGGTACTCAAGGGCGGGCAAGGGACAACAAAAAAGCCCACATGCAGCCATGCACTAGGAAAGGCAGCTACCACTTGGCACTTGGGTGTCGGAAATAATGATGGGATGGCATTGGTGATCGACATCTAGCTTCCCAATCGAGAGAATTGTGGAACTGTGCTGGAAAGAAGCAGTCCCGGTTCTCAACTTCCATGTTATCCATGCCATGAGAGTAAGGTAAGGTACGGAGTAAGCGACTGAGCGGTACAGCACGGCGGGGAATGTGACCCGATTATTGTACTAGACCCTTCGGCCCGGTATCTAGAACGAGTACAGACATTAAAGGTAGAGAGAGATAGGTCAAGTTGGCAAGATTTGGCCTCTCTCATTTCGTAACTGGAGGCGATAAATAATCTAGACAATAAAATACAATACTCTCTGTACTCCATACCTTGAGGTGTAATAAACTGTTGTTGGACCATTCTTTTCTGGAAAACAACAGAGCTCAGATGATGACGATGTTTGTTGTTTTTCTGGAGCCGAAAACTGGAGAGGTCGGAGACACGGGGTAGGACTAGTGCGTATGGTTGGTACCTGTAGTACCTGGGTAATACCATGGATATAACTCTAGGTACTTTAGATTCAACAACATTTCGCATTCGGATCGAAATATGCGCTTTAAATCGTTAATTCCTTAAATTCTGCTGTATACTGCCATGTCAAGCAATGTTCAATGTAGTGCATAACTTCGTACGGTCGATACAGGAGAGGATCAAATTACAATTACCTAAGGTACCTTCTGGGGAATGTCCGTGGCCTGAGGCACCAGTCCCAGACCGCGATCCCGCCGAGTCTAGATACCCATGGCTCATTCCCGTCAAGCCACTATGTCTCGGCTTCTCGGTTTACATTCGAACATTCGAAGTAAAACCTGTTAAAGCATCAATGACATGACAGAAGCAAGACCATTTGCTGATGCAGCAGGGATGAGCACGCTGTCACCTCAATGTCACTGTCCCATCAAGACCCCGCATTTTCAAGCCATCTGGGTCCGGAGTCTCCGGACTTGATTGCCGAGTACTTGACCAAGGTACGGGGTACAGGTATTCATGTAATCAGATCAACAAAACACGCGTGCGAATGAAGTATCGCAACATCAACAAGCCACCAAAAGGATCTCTCAGCGCGTTG